ATAGTAAATTAACTGTCCAATTAGAAGAGTGAAGCTTAATAGGTAAATAGGAAAAATAAATAGAATAGAAAATAGAAATAGAAATAGAAAAGATTCAGTCTATCCGACAAGTTATATCGTCGCATTTCACATTATCGGTCATCGCGAAGGATGAAAAGCTTATCGGAAGGACTTTCCCGTCAGACGCTACCATCAGCTTCACAAATGTACCTGATACCGTAGGGATTACTTATATTTATGAGTCCCTTGAAGAAGGCAAACACGAAACAGACCTTTCCACAAAAGGACAAAAGAAATTGTTATTAAGATGCAACCCTACGAAAATATCTCACTAAAGGTCCAGCTTACAGTGAGATGGACGACGCTGCTGCCTTGACGTACACTGTCGGCCAATAATTTCGTGGAGATGCATTTGAACCTGAACGTTAATTAAAAGTTTAGTAAGCTAGGATCTTGGACATTATACAGGTGCCATCGCTAGGGTTGCTGAGAAATAAATATAAGTAGAATAGTTTGCATTTATTACTTTACCAAACCCATCCGTCGGCAAGCTTAATGCTTCGATTACTTCCTCTCCTGAATATTTTAGTGTGAAAGTTGTGCAAATAAAAGAGATTAACACCAGAAGAAGGTGTGATCAGGACATTACAGGATCTTGAATAGGTTTCTACCCTGAAGTGGAACTGCAACTTGGCTCGGTGGGAGTTAAACTAGAGAGGGTTCAGAAGTGCTTCTACGAAAATAGTTATCCATACCGATTGTCGCTGCGCGACCCAGTAAGTAGACTGCACCTTCAGCAGTTTGCCAGTTCGAGATGATTTCATTATTTAGTTACCAAAAAGAGCTTAACGGGAATGGTTCGCCTACTTATTGGTTTTTACCGTAAAACACCATCATACATGCCAAAACACGATTTTTTTAATCATCTTCATATAAATTTGCCCCACCCATTTTTCGTGTTAAGCGGACTATGCTGGTCTACCTGGTGAGGAAACATGCAACATACCGTAGTCGAAAAGAACTTAAAGAACCCATTAAGCACTTACATCCTCGTAGACAGAGAATACCGTTAAGACCCACTGAAGCCTGAGAAGTTATTCATGCGAGCCTGGGCGAAGTATAAGAGTTACTTTTGACAGCGTTTTTGAGAATCGCGACGGCGACAACCGTCCTTTTAGTATAGAAGAGGTTTGTGCAGGTTCTGCAGTTTCCATGGTCAAGGATAAATTAACAGATCGATCGAATGCAGATGATGCAAAGTTATTTGCTTCAGTATCTCCATGACGTAAAAGTCTGGAAAACACTCGTTTGCTTGCCCTGCACTTCTTCCCTATTACTTCAATCTACACCAATCGCACCCTGTCCTAGCTAACCATTGTCTAAAATCCAATTTCTATCATTTTTCGGTTTGATGGAAACGCGGTTATCTTATGCGCATGTACCCCAATTGGTATTTGTTCGTTATTCGAAATTTTGGGAATGTTTAAATGCAAAAATGGAGCTGTGTTCACAGGAATTTGCCTCTAGGTCAATATTATCCGTTTTTGCACGTTTTACTCTGCTGCCTGTGCGATTAACTAAGTTTATTTTCCCCCTGTCCCATGGTGGGGTGAGACCTGCAAATGACAGCTAGGAAAACTATGTGCCTCAGAATAATCCTTTTGGGATCTTTCTTCTTCTGTTGCTGCAATAACAGCAGCAGCGTACTTTCTTGCCAGGTTTGCTTCCGGTAGCACTCATTATCGCCCATTTAGTTGTCTCCACTCTGGGCGTGTTTGCCCTCATAATTAGCAGTTTTCTGCCGTTCTGGGTAGTACATTGTCCTACGGGTCATTAAAGCAGTAGATAGCCAAGTGTTCTGCGAGACAGGCGATAGATCCCATGGTTTGATTTTATCTATGCAGAAAAATGATAAAGCGTCACCCGCGTGATCCGTCTCCCTGGAGTAACTGATGTGACCTTTTCTTGGTCCCGGAATCAAAAAAGGTGAGACCTTTGCATTGTTTAAAAAGCGAATTATCACCTTGATATGGTACGTGACGACAAGCATTCGGCCCAGTGATAAGGTCATTGCTTTTAATCTGCGACTAACCAGCTTGCAGTGTCATAAAACAGCCGTATTTTTGTGGGCAGGGTCTTCACGACGTGTTCTTCATTATCTCCCCATTATACCACAACATAAGTGATACAGCCTGTAATGGGAAGTTTCATCTCTGAAACTAAGTGTAAAATAGGGAATTATATAACGGTCAGGCGAGGAGAGACCGCGGCATGTCAAATAGATAACTGATGATTTAAAACGATAATTACCCTCAAAGGGCTGTTTATTAAAGTCAAGCGGTGCATTGACAGATTTCATCCGAAAATTTGGCAGAAGTTTTGGATGACCTAAACCAGGTGCCTTGATTTTTATCTGTCTCCTAGTGGAGTTTATAAGGGTTTTGAATAGCACCAAGCTTAGTTTTCAGTGGCTGCTTGCTAAATGAGTCCGTTAGCGTTGAGGATGCTGGGGAGAGCACATCCGCTTGAATGGCATGGTTCCGCACTTTACAGGTTTCGTTCTTTTGAAACGCTGCGCATTATTTCTACTAGAATAAAGTCGAATCATCATATTTAATAATCTGGCGGAAGACCTGTTGCGACCGGAGTCTCTGCTACCGCGAGCTTTCACCTTATCCGAAACTTTTTAGGGGAGAGAAGGGATAGCTAGACGGTGTCCTGTTTGAAACCGAAGTAACAGTTATCGAGCAGAGATTGAACGTTTTACTCAGCCAGGTAGCCCTTAAAGTCTCCCAGGGATTCCACCCCGTCCTCTCATTTTTCATTTTCTACCCGCTTTTTCAATAACATTGCGTTTCCCCTGTATCACATTTATCTTAGTTTTAAGCATTTGGCTGACTTGCAGCCATTGAGAGCAGGCAGAATCAAATACTCGCCCGGTGAATGATCACGATAATACGTCCTAACCTGTCTAAACCTGGAACGCAGCATTTAGTAAGCGCAGGACAAACGAGGATGAAATGAACTTGTGCTGTTGCTATCTGTTTTTTTTGTTTTTTCTCCTATCCCTCAGGTATCCGAACGAACTATAACCCTGAACCAGCGCAAAGGATCGACCCTGGAGGAGATGTCAGCCCTGGTCGGCTGTCTAACTCAGCACATAATGGCTAGGCGGAATAACCTGGCTCCCCTCATTCGGGAACTTAGACCATTACGTACGACGGCCCAGGTGAGCTAACGGAGCTAAAATATGTGGTTTTTGAAAGATTTTGCGTAGCAGCCCTATCATCGGGGTTAAGCGTGTTAACCTTCGGTGCCGACTTGTGTGCGGCAGGTTTAACACCGACAGAATAACTTGTGAAACTGCCACATTTTTAAGTTCCTGCTTTTAAGACGTGCATTTAAATGATTGTCGCAAGCTACCTCTTTGATCTACCACAAGGTATCTTACCAGTGGCCTATTTTTCTATTTTTTCGTGTGTACGTATGTTTTTGTAAACAAAAACGATCGTAAATTTAAAAAAAACTACGACACTTCACCTAGCCGAAAATTCGATATCGTCAGAGCCCGTTATAGACTTAAATATTTCCCGACGTCTAATAATGGGAGACGGTTAATTAGTTTTACCTTCAATATTAAAATATTGTCATAATCAGAAATAATTGTGAGGAATAAAGTCCAGTCACCCTGCCCCATCCCTGTTGCGTGTTTTAACACTAAATGGTCAACACCTTGCCAGGGAAACGCAGGAATTGGAAGTTTGTTGTTAGTTTTGAAGATAATTTTATGAGAAAGAAAGTATTAAATGGGGATGAATTACATATTTCCCTTAATAGGACATCAGTACAAGAATGCCGCGCAATTTATGCGTCCTTAAGCTAAACTCCAGTGGAAGTAGTATTGAGTTTAAGATTGTCATTAAGGTATAGGGGGTAAAGAGTTAGTGGTAATTCTTGTTTTAGGGTTTAGGAAAGACGTAGGGTTAAGATTAAGGTCTCGGTTTAGGTTTACACGAGGCTAGTGTTAGGGATTGGACAATGAAACATTCACACTTCGTTGAATTTTGCGTAGGGTCAAATTGGGCAGGGTATTTCCATTCACAGGAATCCGTGCTTGCGATTGCACTGCAGTCAGATGACAACTTCCCAACGATTACCTTTTGCAAAAGCGTCAACCAAATGAAATTTTCTGAGCCAGAAGCTGGAAGTAAAATCTACTCCGGGGTTTTTGCTACAGTCGCTACAAAGATCAGTACACCATTTTTGGCGCCCGCAGAAGTTTATTTGTACTGTGGACGTAGCCACTTCTCTGAAAATGAATTCGCTTAATTCCTGCCCTGCCTTCAGTTCTGAGGTGCAAATTCTGACAACGTGACATACGAAAGTCGCCAAAATCGGGTTCTGGAGATATTGAATGAAAAATGTTAACGTGATGTAAGCGAGGCGGTTACTGTGCGAGATGCGATACTGTCTTAAAATAGTAAGAAGTGCCTTGAGTAAAATACTGTAGAGATAAACATTTTATACGAAAATAGTAAAGTCATTATCTTTTTTTGCTATCTGGCTGTCGACTTGTGACCTGATCTTAAGGTCATGGTGCTGAGCCCATGTTAAACCCATGTTACATGTCACTGCTTAAGGTTCATTAAGTCGCAGTTCGTTGATGCAAATATTACCTCCAGCTATAATATATCGTCGAATTTCGCCGTAGCTCTGATTCAGGCGTTTCTATACTCAGCGAACAGATATTTAGCTCAAAGGCAAACTAGGTTACAGCCGAGCTTAGTGTGTCTGTTATCTGACGCATTTTCTCCGTTAAGTTATGCCTCACACATCACCTTATTTTCTTAATGCCTTCCTGCCCTATCGACGGGGAAGCCTACAACACCTGCTGCCAACCTCGACTGATGTGATGTTAGCACATAAAGCTGTAGTCCACCTCAAACGTGTTAAATAAGAAGACCGATTCTGCTGTATTTTGGACATTCAATCAAAATGCTTGAGAATACTTTCTTTAGTAATTATGAGTGTAATGACAAATTAATGTTTAATTTTAAACTTCGCAATAATTTGGCGACTTCGGCCTTAAACAACCAATATGGAAGTTTAATCACGTGTGTTCTGTCGATGTCGATGCATTTAAAGTTGACTACTAGCGCTGTAGAATTTGCACTGTTAATGGATGGGCGCTTACCGATCAGCTGCAGGACTCACTCATCCCGTATTGCCATGGGGCACACTCTCCAGCCCCGCCCGCATCCACACAGCGGCTAATATTATAGACAGAAGCACCTTACCGCTCAATGTTTAGAGAGTGGACCTTCTAATCAAACGGTCGCCTGTTGGAGCCTCCGGGGTTGCAACACCTGGGGTGGGATATTGCTGGCTGCTGGCGGCTAATAAGCTAGAAATGACCTCTACAGTATCCTTTGTCTTTGTCGATAATGCATTTAAGCCTATGATACTAGCCCCTGTTCGCCGGCAGACAGAGCTGGATAGTGAGCTTCAATGCAGAGCGAGACGAATGAGTCCCGTTATCGATCGATAACCCTTCATCAATGAGTTTTAATATTCCTGATCTAAATCAGAAAGACATGAAGCCAGTGTTTTAATGTCTAGAGTGTTTGACTTCTACTCAGTTGCTCACAGGTTTGAGCTTTGCATACTGCAACACATGAGCATGGGGTCAATGCTCAGCTATTCTTAATATCGCGAGGCGATTACAATTTTCTTTCAAAGTCTGAAATGGAGAGTCATCCTATGGACAGGTGTTGTAATTTGGAGTACATTTTGCAATGTCTTTTCCCGATTCCAGTAGCGCTGTACTTTGTGCTCATTGACAGATAACGAACTTCTCTGAACCTTTCCTATATCTTCAGTTGCTAGTCGTTTCGTAATTTTAACGACAAAACCGAAACTCGTGGCTGGGATAATTTGTTCTATAGTTCATTTGGCAAAAGTAGCTTATGTAGCTCCACTCATATACCCCTAGTCCCAACCTTTTATCCTGCAAAAGCGGTGGTTATAGAGTTTTGTGGGGTGGGTAAGTAGGACAGGCACAGAAGGAAATTTTTAGAAGTAAGTGCAAAGTAAAAAAAATGTAGTCGAATTTGCTTCCCGCGGCCGCTGGGAGCAGGTCGTTCCACATGTAAACTGAAGGTGTGGGGGGCGCTTCGCGCCGCGGACTATACTAATCTAACACCAGAACGGTCAGTTGGACCACAGGTAAGTTGAAGTAGACGACCTCCTAACCACCATTTCAATTTTTCGATTCAAGAAGCCTGCAATTCGATAATCGGGTTTTTCCGCAATAGGTCAAATGATGATACAGATTAGGCAAATCTACAGGTATAAACCAACAACACTTCTAAATACAGTAAAATAAGAATGCTTTAAGCCTTTATTAAAGTATATTCAACTGCGTTTCCTAATTTCCCGCCCATAAAACCCGATAGCCGCCCCTTTCCGTAGGAAAACATTCAGGATGTAGGGATTAATGAGTGGGCCACATAAGCTACTCTTGCCGTTCATTTTAAATAGTCCTTAAGTATCTTCGTATATGTTCACTACACTTCAGCCTTATGTCTTTCTAGGGAGCCAAGAAGGCGTTTTGATGCGCTTAATTGCTGATGAAAAGAAATATTTAGGTGATTTATTAGCGTCGGCAACTGTCTGTGTCCATGAACTGAGATTGCTATCATTTATTACGGCGAAAAAGCTGATTTTGTGAATCACAGTAAGTGCTACTGACAATTCAGCTTCCTAGGAATGCGTGTAGCACGCTGCTTAATTACGAGTTTTTGTTTATATCTTCTAATTCACAAGGGTGCATTTTCATTCAGATTGTTTGATGCTTGGATAGCACACAAATATTGATCGCAATAATTGACCCATGCTTCATTTGTCTAAAGTCTTTTATAATTCCTCAGCAGTGAAGTTCGAGGGCTGGAGTTAATACTGCTGTTTCGGACATGTTTTGCCCACGGGCATGTTGCTGGTCTTATTTTCGCCCTTCCGCATATTCCTCTTGCTCTCCCTCCTGCGTTCTGAAATCTTTTAATAATTTGAGTCGAAAAGATTTGACGACAGACCTAGTTAATTAAATCGTTCTGTCATTCATTGCTCTGTTCGTTTTCGTTTCACCATGCGGAGGGGCAAATGGCCTGGACAGCGCTGGCCTGGTCTGACAGCGTTTCACATGAGAAGTTACTTCGCTGCCTGCACAAGAGATAAATTATTCATATTGCCAACAACCGTACAAACATGCCGCACAAGTGTAAGCATTTTCGAGGAAAGAACACTGTAAAATTCATTGTTTGCTGGTTTGACTTTACTTCGTGCCTTTCTAAATAGAAGTGAAAATTTCTTTAGCAACTGCAGTGTACAACTTTTAACGTTTGCGCTTGAAATCTTTGCCGACTATCGCTATCTTCTTTATGGAAGCAATCCGCCATATGAAGTTCATATTTTTAATAAATCTATAGTCACGTGTCTTAAAGGTATTATGAGGTATATGGGGTGCTACAAAATCCGTTCTTAAGCCTCACTTTCTCTGATATATTATTTTGGGCGATTTTTAGGCCTGCAACAACCGTTCGTTTTTTATGAATTATGCGGATGACACGAGTAAAGCTAGCTGCAGGTTCTTGCGGAGAATGGGATTTTATCGAATGCAATCACTCTGAATTAATCCTGTAGAAATGCCCAGTGATAATAATACGGATTAGCAAGCTGTCTGAGCAGAGGAAAATTTGTGTGTACTCACTCCTCTTAGTAATTGTTTTTGAAGCCTCCCCGCACCTACGGCAGATAGGAACAGTTGCCCATTAAATACTTAAAAGTTCCGCACCTTTTCTTTCAATACTTTTTAGATGTTTTCTGAGTCCGAAATGGAGCACGAAAGGAACGTTATCCATATCTACATAAGTTGGGTTTTGAAACATCACATTTTCCTTCAATACTATAGTAGTATTCTTCGATATAGTGTATTGTATAGTTAGTAATTATCCAGGTTTGCCAGGTCGTTTTATCCAGTATACTTTTTTAATATATATGAAGTATTATAGAAAAAGATTGCATACATTGTCTATAGGACGAATAGGAAAACTAGAACCGAGGCAAATTAATTTTTAAACATTTGATTTTGGTGACGGACTCATAGTTCAGTACTTTCCCCCTCTTTACCTCATTCCCTGTTTCGAACTCTCCTCAACATGCACTCGAGTTATCCTATGGAAATTGCAGCAGTGTCGTTCATGAAGGAAACTGAATAGGTGAAATGCCAAATGGAGAGTAGGTGCGGTGTAAGCATGCAATTTCTGACGAGTTTTCCGAGCTCACAAACACGGATACTAACGAAAAAAGAAGGCAGCTCATCAAATGTGGGCTGCTGCACAATGCAGCTGCAGAAAGTCGGCTCAACCGTGGATTCCCGAGCGCCGCCCATGTGGCTACTGCAATAGGCTCCAATTCTTACAGTTAACCCTTTTCAGTGTCCCCAGAAATTCAAATATCGTATTAATGAAGGCAAGCTTGTACCAGAATCACAGCAAAAAGAGTGGCTTAGCGGTCTCTTCTACCAAAGCTGTTTTGTTGGTACCACAATTTCTACCATAATAAGACCATATCCTTCCTATGTATACATTTTATTCTGGCTTTTCCTGCGTTTTGAAAACAAAATAGTCGACAGGAAAACACGTTTTCAACCATCTGATACAAAATCACTTCAAAGTGTAGTATCCAACTACCTAGACCAATGGACGTTTAAAATTTCATGATCCACATATTTGTGCAAGCTAAGCCGCATTTTAAACCTTGCAATGCGTAAAACAAAGCATGAATTTACTTACATTAAGTAATTTATATAGCCGTGAAATAAAAAAGTGTACCACATTTTCTCGCGTGAAGTTAATTTGACATAAAAGGAGTTACGTACCCAATTGAAAAGCTGGGCACTGCTGTCTAGAACGATACAGGTTTTGTTTTCAAAATTTTAAATAACCGTGAGTTAAACCAAATTCATAGTATGTTTTCATTTATAAGCTTGGAGCCTATTCTGTTTGTAAGAACATGTCCTTCCAACTTAAAGGATTTTCTTGAAAGTGCTAAGATACCTTAATTCTGCTAGGTTCGCATTACCTCTTTTGCTGGGTTTTGAAATATCGCAGCAAGTCTGACAAATATAGTTTTGCGTACAACTCGAAGCAGTTATACACACAATGTCGGCTGAAGCTGTATTGCGGAATGTACTTGTTACCCACTTTAAGAATATATTCGATAAAAAAGAGAAAAAGCATAACACTAGTAATAAACTAAGTTTTATATATTGCTCAGTGCGGATTTAATCAATTAAAGTCTTTACCATATGATAGCCGAATTTCGTAACAATGGTTAAACCCACTCATAAAACATTGTAAGACAGATTCGCAAAAATACTTTGGTTTTCAATGAGACAAATACCTGTATTTCCGACACCAAAGAACACAAGAACAAACAAATAGACGTTTCTTAACGTTTTTATGCACACCCAAAGTGCTCAACGGACAATATCCGGAGAGAAGGTGCTCTCCAAGGGAATGAAATACAATTTTTTCGATTTTAAATACGTACTTTTCCTTGTGAACAGCGCGTCTATTATGTAAACGCAATATCGAACAGGTGTTGAATGCTTTACAATCCGGAATAGCGCCATATGTCCCTTGAAAAACTATAATCCCTTTGCAATCCTAGCACACTCGGAAGGGGAAGCACTTTAAAGCTAAAAAACTGAAAAAATGGATTTTGTTCGTTGTGCAGACGAAGGAAGCTAACTTTTTTATTTTGAAAAAGGCAGACTCCAATGAAATGGTACCGTTATTGTTAGAATATTTGTCGACCTCTAACCCTCTTACCGCGTACCTTACCAAAACATAGAATTCGGCTAATGAAGAAGTGTTAAAGCATATTACAATAAAAACCAAATATCAGGAGACATAACCGAATTTCTAAACAAACTGAACCAATCATAAGATCACAAAAACCAATTACCACTGTGACCGAAGAAGTGTTAATCGGTGCACCAAAGTACAAGAGTTTGAACTGGCTGTCCCAAAGACTACTTCTTCACAAAAGATTGTAAAACATCAATTGCGAATCGAATTGATTTTCTGGACTAATTGCGAGGACTTAAAATCACAGCAGGTAAGTTGATAACATCCTTCGACGTTGCCCCTCTCTTGAGCAAGGTTAAACACAGGAGGACTCCCAGATTCTTATAGCATCGTGTATCTGCATCTGCTTCACTCGAAATATTGGGTCTTTATCTGGAATCAAATCTTTCGTTTTCATAAGAATATGACTCAAGCTTTAATTAGCCGTTGTCGATTCATCCACTTCTGCCTTCCTTCTAACGTCATGATGAAAGAATTAGAGCTCTACCATTGAGTTACCCCACATTGTAGGAACGTTTAGTGAAGGACACTTTTTATCATTAAGGAGGTCTACAGAAAACGTTTTACAGCGTTATTAACTCAACCTCGCCATAAATCATTTGCACGCTCGAAAATGGAGTCGATAGAAAAGTCTCTTTTCTTGAAGCAATTGTACAGCTAAATATCGACAAGAGTTTTCACACACAAATGTAACGAAATGACTTCTCTTAGTCTTTATAACTAGAGAAACCACTTCCCTACAAACGGGGCGCTGTTAACAGCCTACTGAATCGAACGAAAACACATTGCTCTGACAAGTAAATTTACTAAATTGAATTTAGTAATTTTTTTCAAGCGGCTTTTTAGAAATGATTACCCTAGAGAATTTGCACGTCGATACATAAGACGGCGTGAGTTAAAGGAAAACGCCTAGGAACTGCATTGCTTTGTTCAGCCGCCCAAAACAAGATAAATTTGCAAACACTTCGATACATTAAGAAAGTGTCTGAACTCCTTTAAAGACACCACAGGAAGCATCAAATAGAGGTGGCGCACAAGCCGACGACTACGCTTCATACACGGTTTGTACACCGCAAGGATAGGGTTGGCTTTTCGGATAGAAAGAAGTCGTCCGTAAGACTCCATGCGACACTAGAAATATAATGTGCTCTTTTACAACAGAAATACCGGCCTCTACGCACCTATGCAAGCATCAATGGGCACACTTTTCTTGGGACAGAAATCACATTGTTGCTTTCTGCCCGTCTCAGAAAGGTCAAGACATTTTGAAGACAATACGCTTCCGTCACTCTTACATAAATGGGCAAATTGATTTTAACGTCATGAACAACAATCCTTAGGAAAAATGAAAAAGGCGACAACCAATCCGAACGAGATGTCATACCAGAGCGATGGTGTGTTGATAGGAATAGCTAAGAAATATTGCTTTTTCAGAAATTTCAAAACGTAAACTGATTTGCACTGATGACGACCAGAGAAATACGTGTCAAAAGTTTACAAAACAAAGGTGTATTCCTTTCTACAAAGTACTAAACAACCATGAATTGGGGTTTTTCTATATAAAATAAGACAGCAACGGCCGCACTTTCTGGTTTGTTATCGTCATATTTATCATGTTTGGCAATATGTTACCATTTCTGGCTGGTTTAATAAAAGATTCGTCCAGACAAGCAGGTTTAGAAGATTGTAAGGGATTCAGCAGACACTTCCTTCCTATTATTCTACATACCTCCTTAGACTAAAACCAGCAGTCTGGGTACTAGTGGTCCGTTTTTTAAATTTAATATGAAATTCTGAAAAGCAGCAACGGACGACAGATTAAGAAACATTTTGTGACTGAATACTTTTTTTCCTATTGTTGAGGTTGTAAACGATCTGGCTAAATATCCGGGCCGTTTTGGGATGTATTCTTATATTTCATGGACATTTAGTATTTTCTAGGTTTATAAAACGTGACAGATGTCCTCCTTCACGAAATTCTCCCTGAGGGAAAAGGACTTTGAGTTTAGTTAAGTTTTTGCAACAACAAATCAGTATGGTTTCGGGCACGTCTTCCCTATTCCTGAGTATGTTCAAAGAAGTCATCGCTGTTTATGTGAATCTGAGAGAATGTCAGATTTCTAGGTCAGTGTAGGTATGTGTGGGTTGATATGAAATAAAGGGGTGCATTCAACACAACTAGCTCTTGAGTCCTACGGTTAAGCTTTGAGATGTAGATTGGGCGTAGGACATTGTAAATTGTTGGGTGAGCGATGAACTAGTTACAGTACCACGCAAAACATTTTCAACTACTTCCTCGCTGCTTGCTAACCTTCTTGCAAAACCGGTGAAAGGTAGGTAAGCCTTTCGCGAAATTTGTACCCGTACGGTGATTACTCCGTGCAAAATAGTTTGGGTCAGGGTAATTCTAGACCCTCTACACTCAATCCTATGTCATGTTTGCCACAGCGTAGGAGGCTCTGTTGCGAACATTTCTTAAACTAGGCTCTGGGCTTCGATTTTTAACCCGAACAAGTTTAAAGATGTCAGCCTGTCTTTTGATGTCTCTGTCTCTCTTCCTATCTCTCTCTCTGGGGAATTTACAATAGCTAGTTCGCACACAAAGCGTGACTGTTTAACTTTCCAGGATGTCGTATTCGCAACAACGGTTTTAATTTTCCGCCATTATGTCCTCCGTTGTGAGCTCATCAATTGTTAACAGCCGCTTTTTAACACTGCTCCGCCCACGTCACTTTGACAGGAAATCGCACAAAAACACGCCGAAAAGAAGGCCGCCTATGACTCCTTTTTGGCAAGTCGAGATTCGCAGACCCTGCGTCTGGAACAGGAAGTGCGTGTTCTGCGAGAGGAGACTCGGGTGGAGGAGTCGCGTTACCATTACCTCAACGCGGCCCTACGGATGCTGCGGGTGCAGCAGTTCCGGCTGCAGGAGGAAATGCGCGGGTACCTGACGACTGGAGCAGGCACCGGAGATGGCACTAATACGGGCTTTTGTAATTCTAGCAATGCCGCTGGTGGTGCCGCTGGGGGGACGGGGAAGCGTCGGAGTTATCGGTGAGTGCTTCTGACTACGTAGCCCCCTCGAATGGCCATTTTGTATTGTTGCCAAAAGCTTTTGGTGTGCCCTTTTCGGTTAAAGCCCGCAAGGTGATTTACCGGAACTCCAAGACATTTGTATTTTGATAAGTAATATGCTGGAGCGCAGTGTATTTGCAGAATGTTAAAAATATGAAAATCGACGGCTGAATCCTACTTTGCGTCCCAGCTCAGCACACAAATACCTTATCCTTCTGTAACATGGAACTGGGTGAGTACACAGTCTGGGCAATACAAAGGAAAAGAAATATAAATAACAAATAAAGTTTACAAAAGTCGAAAAACCAGGAATAATTATTTAAATAATGTGATGTTTGTCGCCATAATAAAAATGTGCATTTGTGCAAATATTGGAAAATAACTAAATTAAACATACCAAACTACAACTAACTGAAAACGTAACCTAAAGTAAACTGAATTCACTTAATTAAAATGTACATATAATACTAAATAAAAATGGTAAACATGATAATGAGCCGAAGGTGACATTAAAAACTGAACCTAAATATAAATACGTTAAATAAACCACATAAAAAAACTAACGAAAAATTGTTGCGGATATTAGTTGAATGTGTGCGCGGCGCTTCGCGCCATACTACTAATATAACCCCAGACCGCTAAGATGGAAGGCAGGTAAGTTGAAGGAGACGACTTCCTAACCACTAACATTCTTCAGTAATATCAAGAAACCCAGTAAACTACAAGGTATAAGTAAGTAGAAAATGCCCAAATCTGTCAGTGCCAATAAAATATGACGAATTAATAAATATAAGTAAATTTCTGTTTATTTATGGCGCTGTATTTGGTTGCAAAAACATGAGATTATTTAAATAATTTCTGGGACCTCAAGTAGGATTCTACCAGATCAACCTGTAAGAATTGTAGTCTCTTGGCAGTAGTTACTGTTGGCCTTATTTTCAGTTATTCTGGGGAGTAGCTGTCTATTTGCTCAGGTCAGACTATCATTATATGCGCAGTGCTCCTGCAGAAGCCGACGGAGGCCAACTCGACACTCGCAAACGAAGATGTCTATCACGTAATACGATGCATGGCGAATGCAGGGATGGGCATTTAAGCATAAAGTAATCTACTGTGAAAGTAGGACTACAGAACACAAAACAGTCTATATTTTCTCAGAACTCTGGGTCTGGTATCACGAAAGAGTTAAGAACCGCGGAACCAATTTTAGACCCTATCACTGACAATACGAACTAACCGGTTTGCCTGTGCTTACCACGTCTAGTCCTAACAACATGGTCCAGGTTTTTACAGAAGCAGTATATGATCAGATTGGATCGAACCTGAATGAGAATACCATAGGGACCACTTGGAGAAGGGCGCCATTGCCATCTGACTCTCGTTTCTGAGAGGACCGACATACTCCGTCAGATGGCAGCCTTCCCATCCACGGCTTTTGGTGCAACGTGATAGTTGAAAAACACTTTAAATTGTTTATACTGAGGAACATGGGTTGATTGCCGTGGGAGCGTGGTCCCCACCACGTAGTCCCTTCTGTTTCTTCCCAGCCTCTATTCCGCATTCTAAGCCGGCCAGCAATCTGACGTGGGTTTTGGGTGTAAGTGGCTAGCAGAATTGCTGCAGCCCGTATGGCGATGTCACATGCACAACTCGCTAGGTTTTTATACAAAACACTCCTTTTTCCCTTTACTAACAATTGTGTTCAGTTGAGTTTTATACTGGAACCTTTAGTGCCTCCATGATTTATTTTCATTTACTCAGTTATACGAGTATTTACAATAACTTTGTCGTCGTTTGGCTCTGCAACGTCTAGGGCCACTCTGCTTACAGACTTCATGTCCTTATCATTTTCCAGGATGGTGCATTAAAGTTCAAGTGAGGCTGTGTGTTGTGTGGTAAATTAAACCATGATGCTTTCGTACGTACGTTTTTGGCTTATTTTGGTCTCATCTAAGGCACGCTGAGCCAGAATTTTTGGTTAGGTCGTGGTTCTTAGAATACTGCTGTGCTTGCCTATTTTTACTGTGGACATTTTCCATCCAGGACGTGCCAAATAAATTGAGAATAGACGGTTTTCAATTATCCTCTCTGCTACTTTTTTCCTCTTTCAAACAACAAAGTATACTTAGTGTGAAATCAGTGACGATTCCGATCTGTTTGCTAATTAAATTTACCTAGTTAATGTCGGTAAGCGCTCTTGTTCAGAATTCCCCTTTTATTTCTGTCCTGTGGCTTTGATCATCGCGTACATTAATGCTTGTTTAAAAACGTAAAGTCGGGTGGTCTGAAAAGATGCACTCACATGCTTTTGATCCTAGATTTGGCAAACATTAAAAAAAAACATAGAAACACGCACCTGTTCGGTTTCTAAAAAGTAAATTTTTCCATTGCTGACCACTCATGACAGATTGTGGTTTTTATACTACTGGTCGGTTTGCCGACGTACTCTTTAAACAGTTCTCCCTTTGTAGAATATATTTTAACAGCCTAAACAAGGACAAATCATAAACATGCATTTAGAGGTATTGCCTTTAATAAAGCAAACAGGACGGGGTACTACTCCAAACGTTAAGTCGCTTGTTCGCCGTGGAAAATCTCTCAATAAAGCTTTTTATCACGTATCTAGTACGAAGCAATACAGGGAATTATTACTTTTGATTGCTGTAACGTAAAAGTGGCAAAGCACAAACCACTTCAAAACGTATATCTTCGGCTATCTTTTACGCCAAAAAATTCTGCGTATCTCCACTTAAACTGTATAAAGCCCTGCTAAAAAAAGAAAAACGTGTCGGCCGAGGCGTCTAGAATGTGCTCAAATCGAAGACTGTATGAAGAACGCCTGTAGGTGTGAGCTGCTGAGGTCCAAGTACGAATAAAATTACTGTATTATTACTTAATTTCTGCTTTGTGAACCTAATGCTACAGCTTGAAGTCAATAGGATACCTATTCGTAACCACTTAAAAGGGCGTAAACCATTTTTGTTGTTAAGAAGACTAAGTACAAGACAGTTTTGACTCCAACTCATAGGCTGCTACACAGCAGCTAGCCTCCCATTTAGTCAAAATAAAAATCGCGGGTACATTTGACTGGTTGCAGACCATTACGCTTCCTTCAATGTTGTTTTACAGACAGTGATTTCTCCGTTAATCGGTTTTGGAAAAAGAATCAAGAAAACGTATCAAAGAATGAAGCAGAACCCTTTGAAACACGCGTACTAACAAACTGAACTTTTAAACACCTGCGTTGGATGTCTGTCTGAGCAAAACTCAAATAGACTAGGCAAGTATGATGCGGACATTGGGAGTTCTCGCATTTAGCATGACCGTCACCGCCACCACCAAGCTGCCGCAAACAATCAGATCGACAAAAAAACAGACCACTGACTTGCTCAACTTTTATTTCACCTTTAGTCAACGGCAGCCAGTCCATCGGACCTTCCTTATTTAAGGTCTACGACATATAGAAAAATTCGAATGTGGCTGGTCGAAATCGTCATACGCATAAGAGCGCTCACAACCATAGCTTGCTAAGACTTTTAAATCTTCCCTTTTTCAGACCACACTGGCGAAGAGCAAAAGGAAACGGCAATAGGTTTTTTTTATTTAAAGCCATCCTTTGCTAACCGCTCCTAAGGCCCAAACCCGAAGTAAAGATAAAGTGATCGTGTTCCGTTTCGAAATCAAAATCGATCGGTGTACGCCACCCCTAATCGTTCTGTTTTTTTTT